GACTCCTAGATCCCTTTCACATGTAGCTTGGTCAAGCCTGGTGTCCCCCATCCTATATCTATGCATTTCCTTTTTCCGTCCTAAGTGCAGTACCTTACATTTCTCTGTGTTGAAGTTGATTTTGCCCAGAACTGGACGCAATATTCCAGGTGAGGCCTGACAAAAGCAGAATAGAGTGGCACTACTACTTCTCTCGATCCAGACACTACATTCCTCTGGAACTCACTCCCTCGATGTGTTACGGAGTCTCTTTCCTTGGAAGTCTTTAAACAGAGGCTGGATGGCCCTCTGTCAGGGGTGCTTTGATTGAGAGTTCCTGCATGGCAGAAGGGGGTTGGACTGGATGGCCCTTCAGGATCTCTTCCAACTCTATAATTCAACTCTATAATAGGGAATTCTGGGAACTGTAGTTTTGTGAGACATAGAGCCTTCTCTGTTCAGTCTGTTCAGGCCCTACCTTTGCTGCTTTTGGGTGCCTTTTTATTTAGAGAGAGGTCTTTGGCTTTGAATTAGGGTAGGAAAGTCTTTTCATTATTGTGCTTTACTATTTATCGGCACTATTTTTGGTTGTGTTTAATAATAATAATAATAATAATAATAATAATAATAATACTGTTTTAAATTCATGTTTTAACACTTGAGCTTGCTCCTTGGTATTTATTTATTTGTTTATTTGTTTATTTCATTTGTATGCCGCCTTTCTCCCAGAAGTGACCCAAGGTGGTTCACAGTTACAAACATTTTTCTATTATTTTACCTCAGTTTTGTTTTAATTTAGGGCTTGAACAGACTGCCAGAAACAATCCATCTTGAGGCCACTTTAACTGCCCTGGCTCAGTGGTAGGGAATCATGGGAACTGTAGTTTATTGTGGCACCAGAGTTCTCTGACAGAGAAGGCTCAATGTCTCAGAAAAAAACTACAATTCCCACAGTTCCCTAGCACTGAGCCAGGGCAGTTAAAGTGGCCTCAAGGTGGATTGTTTGTGGCAGTCTGTTCAGGCCCTTAGAGTAGGCCTGTGGGGAGAAGAGGCAGAATTAGGCCAAGCTAGCAACAGCCAATCAGGAGGAAGCTGGTGACAGCCAATAGAATCTTGATAAAAAATTCCGTTGCTGACAGTTGAGGGCCTGGTTGTGAAAGAGTCCAGGAATCAGGGCCTGTGAGGGCCAAAGCTCAGGAGGAAGAGACTTTTAGGGCCTATACCAGGGGTAGGCAACCTTTTTGAGCCGGGGGGCCGGGTTGCTGTCCCTCCGACAATTGGGTGGCCGAAGCACCAAAAATAAATAAATAAATAAATAAATATTTTTAAAAAACAATTACAACATTTAAAAATATGCATGCACACTCTCTCAGCCCCAGAAAAGCCATGGCAAAACCCCTGTGGAGATTTTGCCAAGAAAGCCCCAAGAACAAGTAATAACAATAATAATCAATGTCATCATGGTGGGTGGCAGCGGCGGCGGCAGCAGGACCGGCCTGGGGCCGGTCCAAAGGCCTCGCTGTTGGGATTCCCTGACTGGGAATGATCTCAGACAGAATGCTGGGCGCAGCTACCTGAGGGGGAAAACACCCAAGGGGGTGATTCTGTCCCCTCCTTTTTATTGACATCTTGTTTACAAGACAACTGGATGCTGTTCATCATTCATTAACTGTCAGAAGGTGGTCAGGCTCAAAGGTCAAGAGAATGCAAACAGAACAGGAAACCAGCCAAGCCAATCATTAAAGGTGGAACAGACAGCTCATTAACTTAGATCATAGAATCATAGAATCATAGAATCATAGAGTTGGAAGAGA